TGTTACATTCTTTATATTTACAAGACGGAAAAGCAAACTGCTCTGACAGGGACGAACAAGAATACTGACAAAAGGACTCTTGACTACAAAATCGCGCATGCTCATATCACACATGCACGTGACTGGACGAGACAGTTTGGGGAATGCCATCACCCAGGAAAACAACACATCATCTTAAAACAAAATCCAACCAAGCAATTGCTAAGGTGCGGCGATGGCGCCTAGCATCCTGGGTAATCATAGCATTGATCAGCAGCTGGTCAGTGCAGCCTCCTCGGTTACGAGTACAGCCAGTTTGTTCATGGGCCAGAATGTGGTTGCCCCGGATATGGATCCACATCAACTCACCAATCACAGAGGTGCCGGAATAGCTTGTACATGGCTGGCAGACAGGTGATTGGTCACCAGTTCTGAGGATGGGTTAAGTCTCCTTTCTTTGGGATCATGACTATCTGGCCCAGTGAAAACCATACAGGTGCATCCAGCTCAACATCAAGAAGCTCACCATCAGAACCAAGAACCCAGATTCCCTAGAAGGCTGTTGCTCCTAAGTGTACCGTCTCTGATACATGCTTGTGTTGTCCCTGCCCCTTTTGGCACGTGTGTGCTGGGTCCGCGTGTTCGTTGTGCGGACTGTGCAGGTTGCGCATGCGGGCATTTGTACGCATTCTTGTTTTTCTGTGTTTGCCTTCTTCCTGAGACTCTCTTCGGAGTAAAAGCAATAATCAGTCATCTGGGTGTTGTGTACGTGTGATGTAAGAGAGTATCGTCGGGGCATAAATCCCCCCGACGACACTTGGCTGCAAAATGGTCACCCAGTGAGGTGCCAGTCACTGCGTTGCTTGCGGCGTCATTGTGCTCTTTGGTCCTGGTGGCGAGGCTGCGGCAAGTCTTCCCGACATATGTATCACCACATTTGCACTCGAGGTGGTATATGACGTTTCGCTCTGTGCATGTTTCTGAGCCAGACATGCAGGCGACACAAGCAGCTTTGGGCCGCCCTGTTTACGGGGCATGGACGGGTCTAAATACCTGCAACATGGTGGTTTGCTGAGGGCAGATGTGCAAATCATCAAACTTAGACGTCGGTTCCTGTAGATCACCTGGGCATTTATGTAACATTGTTGTACTTCCGGAGTAATTTATGAATTTTGTTGTGGATATTTTCGGTGTGAAATGATAGGTTGAGGGTGGCACGGTATTAATGCTGCACTCTGCCACATCAGTGGCGCATAGCTCATTCACGTGCCGAAACTATGACTGAATCTGGGAAGCTGAGCACGCAGGAACTCCGAGGAAGCAAGTGCTTTCTTTTGCTGGTTGAGAACTGATGAGTTGTAGTCTGATACCAGTCCGCTGTGACATGGCTTGCGGTATACTTCATAGGATATAGAGCCATATGGTGAGACATGGGCGGTCGTGTCCAATAAATTGATCGAGCCAGTCAACTCCGTGGATTGGTGAGTGAATTTAATATTAGCATCAGCATTATTGAAGTGATCTAGGAAACTCTGCTGAAGTTCCGGACCGAGGTTCCACACAATGAAAACATCATCGATATAGCGCTTGCACAGAACTGGGCTATCAGGTGCACTGCGCAAGAGCGAACTCTCTAGGCCATGCATATACTGGATGGCAAGGGGGAGGGGGGGTGCTAGGTTATTGCCTATAACCACACCATCCCTCTGGTGGTACACCTGCGTTCCAAACCCGAGGTAGTTAGAGTTCAGCACATGTGCAAGGAGCTCCTTGACCTGCCCAATTCGGAAATCGAACAGGTCAATGCTGCTCTTGTGTTGTCGAAGGACTCTCATGACTGCTGCAATACCATCATTAATCGGGATTCTAGGGTGTAGGGCCACACATCCATAGTCACGATGATAGTGCCAGGCGGGGCCTTGAGGTTGGGAAACACGCTCTTCATACACTGGAGTGCTTCAACAGTGTTCTCCAGGTGTGCTGGCACGAACTGGAGACATTGATGGAGGATGCTTTTGAGGACTTTGGAGATGTTTATAACTGGACTGACGCAAGCCGCGACGACTGGTCTGAGAGGAATATTGGACTTGGGGTCTTTGGGAAAGCCGTAAATTTCAGGGAAGCTACTCGGAATCAGTTTCATTTTGCAGAACGGTTGAGATCTCTGACCTCAGGGATCCCGTGCCAAGCTGAGATCGGAGTTCCTCACCCCAGCCCAACGCTTGGAGTATCCAGCATCGTGGAGATTTACAAGTACTGTACATGTCATCGTCGTCGTTCACAATAAAATCTTGCAAAGAATTGCGACTGATTTGAACCACAAAGGTAGTAGTGCTGCCTAAGTGAAATCCTATGGAGAAGGCGACCATCACGATCGACTTCCCTTTAGAAAATAGCCAGGCAGCAGAGAGGAAGAGAGATGAGCTTGAGAAAGCGAGAGATTCAATCCCGATCAAAACATTTGTAACCAGCGCCGAGAGGAGCGACGAGGAGGACCAAACAAGGTGTGAGCCCTTCCTGGAACAGCAAATTCCTCACGGCTACACGTAGCTGTCATGCTATACCTTACCTTCCAACCTACCAATTTTTATCACCTCAAGTGCACGCGTTGTTGTCCAAAGTCTAAGTTCTAATTGGTAAAAGATAAGCGCCGATATTGGTGACGTGGACCATGTATTATAAAACATTTTTCGCATGAGATTTTTCTCGTTTACAACCGTCATGTTTATTTTCCATAGCAAGGAGGTCAGAACACAGAGGAAAAGAAACATGGTGGTCCATTGTTCAAGCAAATGATTTTTTCTTTCACAGAGAACTAAGTGTTATGGTGGTTAGGCATCTCTGTCAGTCCAGAATACATTTGGAAGTATTTATCGAGAGAAGTACTAATCCAGTTGATCAGAATCAGTCCTTTAGTTTCTACATAAATCTCCCAACACAATTTATTCGTCCGAGTGTAATAGGTTCTTGTCCGTCGGTCTACACAACGACCACAACATGATAGTGGCTATAGTCAGTTTCAAAAAGATTAGCAATCCTGGCGATCGCCCGGGGAGTTTGCCGTCTTATCGTATGAGCGCTCGAGCGCTGCCTGGAAAAACTCACTGTTAACTCGAAGAAATATTCCTCGCGAAAGCATGAAAAATGACAACTCACTGACGTCGGTACTCGTACTCGTACATGTTTGTCTGGTTTACAATAAATGAGTTCTTCCTCGCATCGATATGGAGTCAGAGAGGACATGTCGAAAGTGTGGTACATTTTGACGAGCGGGATGCGTCCGTTTTGTGACCAAATAGATCGTTTGAGCTGCCGCGGATGCAATTTACTCTCACGATGTGACGAAAACGGCATCGACACAGACTCATTTCCAAGGCCTTGAAGTGGCAAAGCTATCTGTGTGACTTTGACGACATTTTGAGAAAAGCAGACGCCTGTGAAAGCTGATAGAAGACGGCGTTGACTCCTAAATTCAAATAAATTGGCAATCTTCAAATACTAAAATAATTCTCAAACAGAAATCGATCGATCGATGTGCAGGTGTATTCAACAACACGTAGCTACAGTGCAATGACTTCCGTGTTCACTCACACGGTTTCAGTGTTGTGTGTGTTCACAACTCCACATGGCGTGAGCCAGTCAAGTGTCAGTCAGTTCGGCAGGAAACGCGAGCTCCAACAAGTCGTTTGGCGCAGCCACCTTCTTTGTCTTGTACCAGCGTGATCACCAAAACAATGAAAAAATGAAGAAAAAATGTTTGACTTGAAGATTTGTTGGGATTTGAACTCACAACTTCATGGTCAGCAGACAGCATTCATAACCACAAGGCCAAAAAGGAAGGGATAAATCGTGGTTTTGATAACAAATCGATACTGGCTTCCAGGGCAAATTATAAACCATGGGAAAAGGCCAGAAACATGGCCGAAATACTAACTCCGTAACGGTTGGTCCAATTGTTCCGAACCCTTCACAGAACAATTTGCCGTGTCCTAAAAATCCGTTTTATGTATTTTGTTGTCCAAATTTCCCTTATCTTCATACTTTTTAAGACCCAAACTTGATTGCTGATCTTTTTGAAACAGACTATAAGGCTGTGGGGATTATCGTCAACAGCAATGGCCAAGGCAGACGCATTCCACCGGCGTCAAATGCGATCACTCCTTGGAATACGATACCCAGACACAATTTCAAACGACGACCTATACCGCAGAACCAAGAGCAACCCTATATCAGACACAGTTGCATGTAGGCGACTACGAATGACCGGTCATGTGCTACGGATGGACACGGACACGCCACCGCAAGTAGCCATGAGCGGCTATTTTGACAAGGGCAACAAAGCACCTCGTGGACGGCCAAGGTTGACACTGGCCACAAGTCTGGTCGCTCAGCTGAATAAGCTGGGTGTGCCAATGAAGACCATGGAAGACCTTTCCAGGTGCCGACAACAAGCAGCAGACAAGACCGACTGGAGGAAACTGTGCAGCTCGACACCCGGGGAGAAATCGGTATCAGCAGCTACTACACCTAGCTGATGATGCTCACAAGACAGAAGCGGAAAAAACACTGAATTTCTTTATTTAGTGCTCTACTACGCGAAATGTGCTATTATTATTATTATTATTATAAGGCTGTATTCTAGCACAAGACAAAAGGTATACAACAACGAATAAATCACGGCTCGCTTCAGACTCGGCTTGAGGCCAAGTTTTCGGAATCCGTAGGAGCGGCACCACCTTCCAAGGACAAAATGTTAATGCTATGATATATTATTACTGCCAACGAAGAGAGATAGAGGAGAAAAGGGAGGTACAGGACAAAAGGGAGGTAGAGAGAGGGGAGAACGAGGAAGAAAGAGAGGGAGAGAGAGAAGCAAACAGAGGAAAAGAGAGATGCACACACATACATACAACATCAGAAGAATCAATACTAGAGAAAACAGGTTGAATAATGATGATAATAGTGATCATTTTAGCGATCCCTGGTAAAGTATGTAATCTACGCACCCTTTTTGTACTTACTATATAGCCTTGTCAACATCGTAAACGAAGGAAATGTTGTTGTTCCTGATCAACCTATACATAAATTCAGATTCGGAGAAAGAGTGTTAATTAAACATCATGGAACCAATGATTTGTTTAACCCTTTGAGACCCCACTGATTTTCGGCAAAAATGCATTTCAATGGTCCGGGGTCAAATGAATATAATATTTCTTCAGGGAATGACATTTGCTGATTACAAATTCTGTTTTTCTGAATGCTTTTGTGTCAGGGAAAACCAAAAAACATAGGCCACCAGAGCAAGCAATCTTGGCGAAAAGGGCTGTCGAATTCCAAAATCGGTCAAAAATGCGCGCAAATCAAAGTTGACATAGAAAAAAGGTACGGGGAAAAGATCTAGATATGGAGTAAAATTGTTCTGAATGTAATTACACTAGTACGAGCAGGTGATCTGCAAAGTTTGAGCTCGTTAGACGAAGTGATGAGTGTTATATTCTGCAAAACAATCCCGCTTCGTTTGGCAGTATGTCACACACTGTCGCTGCACATTTTCCTGCTCTCTACAGTTTCTGCAATTTTTCTTTTGCTTCTGTGAGCTGGGCAGATGGAGTTGTATAGGATCGAGGAGTGGTGCATCTTAGGATGAACGGTAGCGTCTCTTCGGCGGTGGGTCGTTGATGTCGACGTCTGCCAGTTGGCGGATCAAGTGCGCCTTAAAGTCGGAGTGCTCAAAGGTTTTCCGCCGTTGGATGTTTTCAGGATGTTCGGTCATCCATAGGTGAAACAGCCGGTATGCATTGATGGCACTCTTATCAACCAGGTCAAGGAACAAGCTTTTCCAATACTTCCGAGTCTTCCTGAGACTTCGATATGTGGCGATCAGCTGGTCGAAGGTGTCAACACCACCCGTGCTTCCATTGTAGTTCGTGACTACAAGTGGCCTGCGGATCTCTACCACTTGGTGGATACCATCGATCTTTACATTCCTAGTAACCATGTCGTGCTGGTGGCCAAGGTGTATGTTTGAAAACAGGGATACGCATAGCTTGTCTTTCCATTGCGGGAAAAGTTGCTCTTATTACATAGCGTGTTGTGCCTCGCTCGGCCCAAGTCTCAAACTGCTTGATGTCAGCTCGCAAGAGAGGTGGAAAGCCTTGCCTGTTGTGGAGAATAGCGCCCACTAGTGACACCTGCTTTTCACAAAGAGAGGTGGCGAACAATGGCGATGTGTAAAAGTTATCGGTGTAGATAACATGACCCGCTGCCACATCCCCTACCAGCCGCACCACGACTGCGTGCCTCCGGCCATGTTCTCCTCCAAGGTGGTGTCCAGTGTAAAGTTAAAGTTTACTATGATCAAGGTGTCAGAATCGCAAGCTGCAAAGACCTTGAAGTCCCACTTGACTGACTTCTTCCCAAGTACTGCATAAATCGTGCGCGGCCTTTGCATTTTACCATACGCTCGTCGACGCTCACACATTTTCCACGTCGGTAGGGCTTGGCATTTTTCACGCATAAGATCATGAAGAAGGCGAATTTTAAGCAGCCTGTCATTGCCATCCTCGTGCGTGTGGTCAACCAACTTCAAGAAGCACATGAGTGCCTCGTACAGACGCCGACTGGAGATCCTCTGACGTGCGTAATGGCCGGTGTACAATGCTTCTGTGCGCCAGTAATCACGCTTAGCAGGGAGAGGATGTTGGAAATGTTGGAAATGATGCAATTCTAGACTCAGCATATTATGCATTTGTGAAGTTCACTCTTTGCTGCACAATTTCCTCCGAGAAAACTAATTTGGGGAAATCCAATTCGCAGCTGGGGACAAAGTCATTAGGTAGCTGCATGCCACAGCCATCGGCGTCAAACTCAGGCACAGCATTCTCCCCACCAGCGGCGACATTTCTATAGTCTCTGAGCATTGCGTACGGTGCTGCACCATGGCCACGTCCGCGACCACGACCACCGCGAGCTGCTATACCACGGCATTGTCCGGGAACTGCTGCGCCAATATTTCCATGCGATCTTCGCCTGCCAAATCTGCGATCATCAGCTCCTTGCCCTGCCTGTGCTCGCCCACGGCCCGTGTGGGCTACTCAATGACCACAGCCTTGGCCAAAACCTCTTTGGCGTGCTGCCGAAGGATCAAATTCTTTCTCGCCTTCTGACCGCGAGTCGATCACGTCGGCAGCAAATAAATCTTGATTCACGGCGTCCTTCGTGCCGGATGAGAGCCCATCATTGTCCGAGGTTTCAAGCTCGTCCAAAGAGCTATCACTCAGCTCTTCTACAGGCTCATTCCGCCCCTCTAACTCCTCAAACAATGCCTCTGCAGCAAGCGCGTCCATGCGGAAGTCAAATCTGAAACACTTTGGCTGTGAGTGCAGCACGGGGGTTCTTTTCTGCATTCACAGTCGTGTACTAAATTCTATGCTGTATTTGGGTTTAGCATGTGCTCTTAGGGATTTTTCTCAGCTTCGTCGTTGTGTTAATTTTATTTGGCTGCAGTGAACCAGTCCAAAGTGATGAGCTCTGGAAGTGTGCACACTTCAAACGATCGAATTCAATCGTTGGGGTCCCAAAGGGTTAACCCTTTGTGGGTCTTACTCAATGTATGTGAGGGGTGGTCACGCAAACACGCGTACAAACAACCAGCCATAACTCAAGTTCTGTAAGTTGTAGGTATGGGTAAACTATATATTTTCAAAATCTGTATGCCTGGACGAGTCCAGAAAACACAAATATGACTATGTCCAGGCAAGGGTTTGACCCGTGGTAGCCCTCCAAGTTGAGAGAAAATACAATTGCGAACAAAAAAAACACAAAAATCACAGCACGAAGTGCATACCAAGTTCGTGATGGAGCTGAAGTCCTATGATAAACAATCAGGTAAGCGCTACGTCTTGGTGAAGAATATATGCTCCTAATTCCGTCCTTGAACTCCAATACCTCGCCATCGGTGATGCACCAGCAGCAACAGTTCCAAAATATCACAATTTTGGTTCGTTCACCTCAGCGCCGCTCGCGTCAGATTCACTCCCGCTCAGCTGAGTACTCAGGCGCGATGTCACGCATGCCGTGATTCTCACGGCCAGGCGAATCAGCTGATCGCACCTGACAAGTCCTTGTAAGAGTTGCTGTTGCTGTGCTTCCTCGTGGTTGGTAAATTTTATTTCTTCATTCGGGGACGATTTATTTGAGCTAGGAGCCCTCAACGCAGCTCTCTTTCTCACCACATTACACTGGAAATCCTCCAGGGACATCCAGCCTAGACTGGTCCCGTCAGTGTCCTCAGAAAGCTTTTCTGACACGGCCTTACGAGACGCACTCCCATTCTCGAAATGCGCGCATGGCGGATGGTCGTCTTTTCCAATTTCACCAGACTTCAGTAGATCGATACTGCAAAATTTTGTATGGTAAGTATGGGTGTTTTTTACACCGTTGGAAAGCCTTGAACCTCAGCTACGCGTGGAGCACCATTTTAGTTGTCTCCTAGCAACAAAACTCACAGAAAATGCGATTTTACTGTAAGGGTCACATACGACCCTTACGCTTATGTGAGACCCATAAAGGGTTAACTACATCCTGCACTACGAGAGAGCTTGGAAGCTCAGGGCCCTACGCTATGCTTTATTGCCTAGCTTATGAACTTCATTCATCATGCATGTTATTTAGGGCTGAAACGATTATACCGATTACTCGGTGATTACTCGTTAGAAAAGATATCGAACGAGTATTTTAGTTGCTATCGGCTTATCGGCTTGATAAAAGTACAAATTTTGACGACGAGAAGTACTTCTCCCGTGCATGCATTTATTAGGTCTCGTCGAAACGCATTGTGACGTATCACGGTATGCCAGTACACTGCGCGAACGGCATGGACTCAGTGGCCGCGCGTGGAGCCTGCAGTGTACCTGAGTGCGGGTCACTGGTGTCATGCAGCGCAGGTGACTGACTGTACTCGTACTTGATCCTGTAGTGGCAAGAACAATTTGTTTGGCTAGAAACTACATGATGATTGTAGTGGAAAATGGGAATGAACACGACTCACCTTTCCTTTTTTGTAGTGTTCCCTTACTACTACTACTAGTGGACTCACCTTTTCTCGAACACTCGCCATTGCCAAGGTGTTTGTCAGCGAATCGAGGGCTGTAGTGTGGATAAATTTTGCGCGTGGTGTGGAGAAACATTCCAGCAAAGAAATAATCATGTTTTACCGGCAGAGCAGGATGGATGGGCTATCTCCTCGCTCGCCTCGAGTTGGAAAACCCATCGATATTCCAACTCGGTCACCTTGCAGGCACGGCTACTGAATAAAAATCGGACAAGAAAACTTTGACTTCTGTGGCATCCGACAAGCGCTGCAACTGTTACTTGTCGAGTTGGTTTACTTGGCAACTCCATCCGTCGCTCATGTTTGTCTGATCACACGGGACTGAGAAACTTGCCGACCAGAATCTCGATTAGGTACTGGCAGATAGTCATTGCTACTCGAAAGAAGAAAGAGGAAACTGTATTGCTGTAACTCAGAAATTCAAGCACGGGCGATCACCAACCTCATAGTCATGGCACGGTTGGCTAGTGCAGTGCTAGCTGATGCGGAAACTCAAGAGTTGCAGAAAATTATACTGAAGTACATGATGCCCTACGGGCTACACCCAGGTGCACAGAGCACTCACTCGAGCTACCACAATTGTGTAGAATTCATATTCACGTAAACCTATTATCAAAATTCAAAAAAAACTGATCCTGTGCCATGATTGTGTTGTGTGTACCATATGGAGTGGAAATATATCGCTAAGCCGAAAAGCCGATCATTATGATATCAGCTAAGCCACTAAGGAAATATCACGATCGTTTCAGCCCTAATGTTATTAGAACTGATGGAAATGTAGAAAGGAAATGACATTATGGATACGAGTTAAGAGTAACTCTCCATCACTGTAACATGATACTTTATACAGTCAGAAAGTGCAATAACTAGGCACAAAACTGACAGAGTACTGAGACATTCGAAGTCCTGACACCTAGCTTCAACACATCTCCGTAGCGCTAAACCGACAGCCTTCCA